CCCAAATATTCTCTCCCAGCAGAAAAACTCTCCTGGCATGTTTTTTCTCTATTTGGCCGATTCTACTCTTTCTAGCCGCCTCCCGAAGCCTGGTAGAGGCTATGTTTAGACCGTCATGATAGGCAACTCGTAACCTATATGGATTCGTAACCATATATATTTATGAAAACTACTTGTTTACTTCACTATAACTGCCTTGGTATGAATTTAAGAAATTAAAGAATAGTGAGACTCTCTCCACGAAATTATTTGAATATTCTCGTAAGGTTTACGTGTAGAACAAAGTTTTAAAGAGGTTGTCTGATAGAATATCAACCATACCATATTTTTTGTCAACGGACACAGCAACGACAAAACATGGTGTACCCCAAATATATTTATTCGATCAATCTTGATTTGCAAAATCATGCTCAAAGCTTAATTGCTTTTACAGAGTCAAAAATTGTACAATACAAAAAATAGGAAACACACAACTACTATCTGAAAAAGTCTACTATTAGGCTTGCGATTATGTTTCTTTTTCGAAGGCAGTGGATAATGAATTGACCCGCGTTCTGTATAATGAATGGGTTTTTTGATCTTGGTAGAAACGTAGTCTTTTGATGATCTTCTAAATGATGAAAGAATGGAGAAATCGTGGCAATTGTTTAAAATAATCTATTTTGTCGTGTCTCATAGTGAGGACACTGACTAACAAAATGTATTTCATTTTCCACTGCATTCGTTGTGCAATATTTACATATAGTCTATCGAGCACGTGTAGTTTTCTATAGTGGCCCCATTCTATCTCTAGTGGATGTGATCTGTGATATCTATGTAACGGCAACTTGAAAATGCATTTTTTTCTAACCAACACTCTTCAATACAATGAAAATGGACTAAAAACGTCCATGTAATGTTTAAATACACGGAAATCACAAAATTAAATGGATAATAAGACTTGTTCAGTGATCCGAAATTTTGAATAAAAAAAAGTTACATATCATGAAATACGCTTATCTTGTGCTTCTCATAATGCTCTCCTTTACATAGTCTCTAGTATCCAACCGCCATTATCATAATTATTATTATAATATATTGATCTAGTATAGTATAGTAATATAGTATAGTATAGTAAAGTATAGTATGGCAATGTAGTATTACAGTATAGTAATAGTATTTGTTACTAAATTTAGTTAGGATTTCATGCGTACAATTCATATCTTTCAACGCATGTTTATCTCCTTTTGGTACATGTTAAAGGTTATATCATTGGACATAGCTGTAACTGATTAAAATAATGTATTAAAAATTAGCTCCTAATTAGCATCACTAACATATTATTACATTAAAATTGATAATTCATATGAAGGAAATAAACATATCCACAGATTGAAAAAAACTATGACACTGCCTACTTGCGTAGTCCAGTAAGAGGTTATATCCTCTTGCCTTCCAGTGAGAGGATATATCCTCTTTCCTTCCAGTGAGAGGATATATCCTCTAGCCGTCCAGTGAGAGGATATATCCTCTGGCCTTCCAGTGAGAGAATATATCCTCCTGCCTTCCAGTGAGAGGATATATCCTATAGCCTTCCAGTGAGAGGATATATCCTCTTGCCTTCCAGTGAGAGGATATATCCTCTTGCCTTCCAGTGAGAGGATATATCCTGTAGCCTTCCAGTGAGAGGATATCGATGTATCCTCTTGCCTTCTAGTGAGAGGATATATCCTCTAGCCTTCCAGTGAGAGGATATATCCTCTAGCCTTCCAGTGAGAGGATATATCCTCTGGCCTACCCAGTATCTTTCAATGGGTAAGTATTTGGATAAAGGATATATCCTTAAGTATGATTAATTATGGGTTCACCACACCACGAAGTGGTGGTGAACCCATATTGCTTTTTCTGATGTTTCTTCTCCTCCTTCTCCTTCTCCTTCTCCTTCTCCTCCTTCTTCTCCTGCCATTTTTTAAATGGATTCAGCTTCTTCATTTTAGGGCCTAAGGTCCTGAAATTTGGTATGGAGGTACAGTGGGCAAATACCCCTAGGCGTTTTTTAAATTTTTGTGATACAGGCTTTTAGAATGGTTTTATTTGAGTTTTTTGGCTGTGTTATATCAAATGTATTACTGTGTTAGTGTGCCGTGTTTACCATGAGTCATCACAATGGAATGCAGGGCATCAACCAATAGGCATGCAGCTTTCCTCTATACTTCTTGCTGATTGGCTGTTGGGATTTAACTTGATTAACACCTGCACAGAGCATTTCCATACTGACAGTATGTCTTTATTCAAGTGTTTTGGTAGGTATTTCAAGCTTTTTCTGCTCCAGCATTGGAATGCGGGGCATGAACGTTTTTTTATTTATTTTGAAAATCAACAGTTTGCATTATGCAATTAAAAATCCTAACCAATAAAGTAGGGAATAGCTATCCAACTGTTGTTTTAGTTGTATGTTACTTCATATTATAGTTATATCAATGTAAATCATTGTTTTCCCTTGTGTTTCTCATTCTTTCCCTGCCATGTCGTAAAATGTGGTGAACCCATCGCTGTATTTGCTCCAAAGCAAATATTGGCCTTTCTAGTTATTCAATCTTTCCTTGAGGGTATGTCCTTAGTTGTAATTGTTTGAAATCAAGATCCTGACAATAAAAATAATAAGTTGGAAAGGCTGTATTGTGAGAAAATGCAAAGCTTCATTTCCCCATTTTTTACGCCAAAAAGGGGGATAAATTGGACTTTCCCTTATTGCGCATACTTATCCGTTCTTTTCTTTGTTGTGCGTGTTAGTGTCTTTTCCCTTTTTTCCTTTTCTTATTCTTTTTCACTTGTTTAGACTTTTTGGCGGCTTTGACCCTTTTTAGATATTTTCCCCGCTCGCTCTCATATTTGAAAGTTGGATGTCCATCCACGATTGCTCTCATGTTTATTCTTTCGGTCACAAGTTTCCACCGACCATCCTTCCGTCCTTTTTGTAAAGGAGTCAAAAGTTCTTTCACCTATATAAAAGATAGAAACAAGAAATTTAGGACTGAAGACCTCTTAAAATGTAGTAATGAGAGAAAGAGAATTCAATTGTATACAAGATTATTTCCCTAGTTTTAGAATTTTAGAAAACAAAAATTCACATTCCTCATGAAACTCGATAATCCTCGTACTATAAGCTCCATCTGCTCTTACATTTACAACTGTCTTAAGAAGCGAGAAGAAGCAGAACCTGTATAAATGTAGTTTAACTATAGATATATTTTAGTCTACCATCGCTATTTGTCGTGACCTGTACTTAGTTCGCAATTGAGCAAAAATGTGCAATAAAGGTCTTTCATTCACTAATTGTGGACAATTGGACTGGATTCCACAAGAAAGCAGGCTATGATAAAACAGAAAACTAGGCGACAATTTACAACATTTTCTGCTTTTTTGTGCTACCTTTGACCTAAATTTCTGTTTATGTCTCCGATCTTCCTATCAGTCTGCGGTTACACCACTCCCCCCTCACTTCCTGTGACTCCAATTGCCCAGACGGTCATCAAAACGTCGACTCTTGTTAAACAAGTGGTTGTACGCGTATATAAAGAACCTGTCCTATTTACAATGCAGAAATTGGATGAATTGGATACTTACTACAGATTTTAGTACTCGGCAAAACTCGGCGTCCACTTCAAACTGTGAATTCCACCTGGACGCTTCCACGGTAAGGTTGGATCCCCCTTTCTTCAATTTAGCACAGTACATGTTGACGCGGCTGTTAACTTCCTTAAAATGTTGCACTTCCTCAAAGAAGTCTGGGCCCTGTGTGGTTGATGAATAAATGAAAAGCATCGTTAATTGTTAGACAAGCTAAGTTACACTATGCAACGATATATGCACAAAGCTGTTCAACCTTCTCTCCGCTTGCTCAACTGAATTTGTTACATTTCATGCTATAGATAAATTTAATTTCATCCTAGAAGGTATGTGTACAAATAGGTTCAAATGTGTACAAATAGGTAAATATATCAAAGAATGTTTAGACCTTAGAACAAGTAGTATTAGTTGACTCATCTATTGTTTTGTATGTAGGTTAATTTCGTTGTACCCATGTATCTGTCTGTATGTCTACTTGCAGTCTTAGACCTTACGAAAGTCGCTGTACTTTTTTTTGTGTCAATAAAGTTCTATGAATGTTATTACTAAGTTTGTATTATTACAAAGGAAACGAAAGGCACAAATAAAAACATTTTCGTATTACAGGAAACTAAAGGTGAATGTCCGTTGTTTATATCAGAAACCAGAGTTCCCCGATCTCATACCTTCGCCAAATGATGTTACTCTTTATGACTGACAATTTTTATTTTATTCACATGGATTTTTGAGCATTGGATAGGAAGCACTTGTTGTGCTTATGTAAATCCGCTGCTCATAAAACATAATACAAATGTAAGCATAAAGATGACATAAAGTATAGCATTAACATAAAATGAAAGTGGCTGGCGCACCAATACCTAGCATAACATTATTGAGATTGGTCAAATCTTCCAGAGTGGTGGATATAGTTAAACACAATATCAAAGATACGGCAGTTGGTAGGGTAAGGGAGGCTGGGGCTACCTGTAAGAAGTAAAGTACATAATGTGGCGTCATTTACGTTGAGTGGGTCGGAAAGAAGTATGTTTTCAAGATGAAGGCAAGATATGGATAACAACATTTTGGTCCTTTCAGTATTATAACATTTGCAGTGTAATAAATAGTGTTCTGGTGTCTCATTTGGATGCCCACATTTGCACTCGGGACTACTGATACAGTGATGCTGGAATAGGTGGTAGTTCAGACTGACAATTTGTAGACTATTCCCCTGATTGTGCGAATAGACCCTCATTTTCATGAATTATATAAATTTATCATATTCTCTGGAAAGACATGGGGTCTAAAATCTAATCATTACTAGGTCTCATCAAGACCTACCCACCTGCCAAGTATCAAGACAATCCATTTAAGCCTTCATATACACGAACGCCTTTGAAAACATAACCTTCTTGGCGAAGGTAATAACGCACGACTGGCTCTTACCTGTGCTGCGATCTTCCTCCACAAGGACTTGTTGAACGTGTCGTGCAGTAGATAGTCCACGGCTTTCCAGCGTCGAAGCATCGCAGTCTCCTTTTCAGATGGGACGTAGTCCTTGAACGAGTAACTTCGGTTGTTCTTCGTGATGTAAAGGACGTCTTGCAGTTCCCAACACATCAGACGTTTGAGGAGAACGTAAGACTCGTCCACGTAGTCCATCAGCATGACGAGGGTGAAGTCGGCTTCTAGTTCATTGACGTATCTGCGAGCTCGCTCCTTGAATATAAAAAATGACATTAGGAAACCTTGAGTTGGAAGCATTCAGTTGTTACCTCCGAATACGGAGGTTTTGCATAAAGATTTTTCTTTTGGTATGTGTGCTCGTATACGTGTGAAATGGGTTGAAATGGATAAGTTTGGGTTCTATCTGTCCCGGAGCAAAAAAGGCAATGATCACTTCTACATCTTAGAGGTCTCATGCTCATCTTCATCGTCCCCTTTGTGTCATTCTTGCGAGGCCAGCATTTCGACCCCCCCCCCCAAAAAAAGTCAGAGGTTTCTGACTGTAACTGTGACAGGTTACAGTCAGAAAGAATTTTAAGCTGTTAGCGACTTTCACGGACCTTCAGAAAGTGTATTAGGTTTCTGTGAATGTATTTGGAGAGGGTTAAATGATATAATTCAATCAGTACAACACCTCCTGAATTCCTCCATTTACCGCCCACTTACTCTCGCTGGGCCACTTTTGAGATTTCCTACGTATACTTTGTACCAATCATTTGTCAAAATCACCTTGCATCCACCATGCAACTAAAGCAATAAGTACAGGCAGACACAAACCCACAACTCAGCCTCCCCAAAACAATACTTCCGTGCCCAGAAGTAAAGGGCAGACACCACAATTGCGTTGCGCAGTAGTAGAGGCATGAAACTGGAAACGATTGTAGATAATATCTTTGAAAATCCTTTTGAAAAGATTGGTCCAGTTTGGAGATTTTTGGGCTAGAATGAACAGGTAGGGTCTAAACGTTCCTACCATTGTCAAATTCTGCTCATTTCACAAGTTTGGTGGGCGTAATGAGAGACCTGAGTGATGAGGTCTAGCCTGACCAGGGCGGATGGATACACGAGAAAATTAGGTATTATTAAAGGTAGGATTTGTTCACTGTTGTCAGATGTTGTAAGAGTTTGAGCTGGTCAACCCCCTATTTTCCTTCTTTCTTTGGGAAGCAGACCCTTGTGGCTTCCTGGTGCAGAAGAAGTTTTGAGATTGAAATGTGAGAAAGCACTTTCGTTGGGACTATTTCACAATTTCCCAAAGGTAATTGTACTGTCTGCCGTAAATGTACCTCGTCTTCCACTCCCTCGGTAGGGTAGCCCAAGTCAAAGGCCATGAAGTTCCGACTGGGGTCCCAGGTCACGTTAAAGTGAGCAAAGGTAACCTCGGACCGGTTCTTATACCTCCAAGGATTCTCCAAGAACGTCTTGACTGGGTTTTTAGACTTAATCTTCAGAAGTTGTGGAATGTAATAATAATTCATGGCAGACCTCAATTGCTTGCTTGGATCTCGTATGAGAGCTGTGTTTAAAATATAAAATAAGAATGGAAATATATTAAAGATAAAGAATATAAGCTATAATAGACAAACTAATGTTGAATTCTATATGAAAAATTGTCAAATCGGAATTATCTGTATCTTTAATTGGGGATGTTTTGGAGGAAAATAGATACATGTATGTCTCTTCATCTTCATCTTTGCCGGGGCTCAAAGATGTTATGTTAGCCCCGGCTACACCCCCATATAGCCCCTGATGGGGTACTTTAGGGGAATAATGTGAAATAATGTCTAAAGATGAATAAATAGTTTTTCAGAGATATTGTCCTCACAGATGCAGACTGAAATTCTGCATCACGTCACAAGTGTTGCTACATGTTAAGCACAATTCCTCGAGTTACAAAGAGGCAAACCACGGGAGATCCTTTGCTCAAAGTAAAGAAGGTATATCCTGCTCCATTAGTGAAATAGTGACAGTGATGTCTTGTCGAATACTGTTTAAATGTTTCGACATGTTGATTTTTCCCAACAATTCTGCCCCTGAGGCGTCACCAAAAATTTGCCAACAATGGAAAAACCTTCTTACATATGTAGGCAGTGTCGGCTGGGAACTTGGACCGTAGCCAGGTTTTGTTGTACGTAAAGTGGTTCATCAGGGCATGGTACTGTTCATCAGGGGTGTGGATGTATTCTTGTTCTGTAGGAGAGACGCCCCAAGAGAGGACCAGACCCTCGGTCGGAAGCATCATCGGTAGCTTGCGACTGATGGCGTATCTTTGAAAGATCGTGCAGGTAGTCGAGGCCCCGACTTTGTGCGGTGCGATGAAGACGTATTTCTGCCGTGGCCGGCTGCAGGCTTGCAAGGCCTCTTCTGTTTCCTCTCTGTGTTCTTGTTTGGTCAGAGCTGCAATACTGAAGAAGGTCGCTAGTCATTACGGATAGACGGCTACATTTATGTGTTCTGTGCATGTGTTAATACACCAGACTTGGATTTCTTTTGAAAATCTATCCAGTTGCTCGAGTAACTGTTTTCTTTACCTCATTACCTGGATGCCTAACCTTTATCGTCGGAACAATGACAATAATAACAAAGATGTCGCATATCAAATAATCGGAAAATTTTACTACAGAAGTCCAACCTTCAGGTGTAACCATGCAACATGGCCGACAGTACTCATGTTACAGTCAAATGAGTGCAATACAGCAAACTTTGCACCTACCCAATTCTTACCATGTAGGAAGTATCCTGCATGGTGTGATGCACAGGAATGATTTAAAACAGGAAAATTATTTAGATCGGTCTCTGAGTTACCTGTTCTTCAGTTTATGAAGTTGCGGCAGATATGTACGCATTGGCGATAGTCTATCCTCCAGAATGATCGTCACTATGAAGCCGAGCCCCGTGAGGAGTAACGTAATGGAAAGCGCGATGCCCCAGGATGTTGTCGCTTTTTTAATCATTGAGGAGAGCATACTGACGATCCTAGATAAAGATAACAATTGCAAGGACAAGATTTGGAACATTTGTTAAACTTTCTTTCCAACACAAGGGATATCCAAAGACAAATTAAATTCTTTTTGGGGTCGTGAGGCGTAGCGACAGAGTGCTCAACTCGGAACCAAAAGGTCCCGGGTTCGAGTCCTGAGTCCTCACTTCGCTCAGGTCAAAATGAGTACTGTATTGTCCCCTGTGTTGGTGGCGGCATTATCACAAGATGAAAAAAAAAACTTGAGTGTGCCGTCACCAGGTCTTGTGATTAGATGTTGGAATTTAAAAAAAAAATCAAACTCTACTATACTGGTTAATATGCGGATATTGTTTCTGAACGTTTTCGACATCCGTCAGTCTTCTTCAGCGTCACTAGAAATTCCAACACAGATGAACTTTCATGACAGTATAAATACAAGCACAGTAACCCGAAACATGAATTCCTGGTCTTAAAATATTCCCCACTTGAATCTTTAAGATTGCATGATACACTTCTCTGTTGGATTAAGGGAGCCCAGGCTTGTATTTATGTTCGAGTTCGGGCTTGCATGTGATGATGTGTCTGCACATTAGCCCCAGACTTTTTTTCGAACCTGAATCATATGTTCCACCATGTTTTTTTGACGTCATTCCAACTGAACGCGTGTTTGAATTCGGGTCACCGGCGGTCATTTGTTAGCCTGGGTTCCATCCTGGTTAGTTTACGTCCGCTCCCACAGTCGCTACCACCAACTGTGGGAGCGGGCGTAAACTAACCAGGATGGAACCCAGGGTAGTCATTTGTATATTTCCCCTGTAAACCCGCATTGTCACGCATTTTAGTCACGGATGATGACTTAATTAGACCTCACGCGCAGATGGGCCGTCCTTGTATACCCAACCATTAAGGCCGTGTTCATGTGAAGTCAGTGAAGGCGCTTTACATGTGGTTTACCCCGAAGCCGGTTTCAAGTGGCTCCATCTGAACGCTCCAAGTCACATTGAAAGCGCCTCGATCCCAAACCACTTCTAGAGGTGGTTTCGAATCGGTTTTTCCGCATCGCGATTTGCGTCTGAACGCAAAGTGATTTCAATGTGACTTCGCCTGGTTATGGATTACGGGGTGATATTTCTTTATGTATATGCAATGCCAACTTTAACGTGGCAGCAACTTAAAGAGCAGTAATGGTCAAATAATGTGTCCGTTCTAGGGCGAGCTTCACCGCCTCTGGCGGGACCACGTCGGCATTCGGCCGAGATACGCTGGGAGGGGGGCACCAGCAAGCAGGTCGTTGACCTCCGACATTAATAACACGCTACCTTGCGTGTTTTCATCAAACAACAATAGATGTAGCTCAGGCGAATTGTGATAGGGCACGGTTTCAAAGGAATGTGTGGCACGTGGACCAGATGTGAGGAATGCGAGTTACCCGAATCGCGGTTTGGGTGACTTCACATGAACAAGGCTTTAGAAGTATCAAATTTCCAGGCTAGGGCTTCAGAAAAAAATAATGACTTTTCTCGGAAATGTGCAGAACAGTGATGGCCAAAATAATTCAAGAGTGGATTTTGTCATATTCTTTTGTGCCAATTTTTAATGTTGAGTTCTAGCCCTACAAATATTGTTTCGGATGCACGTAAATATATAGCTCTGAGGGTTGTTTCAGCGATAATAATGGACTATTTTATTATATCAAATTAGTAGTTTTACAATGAATTTATTTAGGTACCTCTTGTAAATAGTAGAGCCAAACCACAGCAAAGCAAAATGGCCACCATGGCAAAAACAACAATGTGCGTTTTGTGCCGAGAATTGGGTCGGATCCGGAGTAGCTATAGCTCCGTGGCAGATAGCAACCTTCTCTGGGCGGCAGGTTATAGGACGGCTGGCAAAAGAACGCATTAAAAAGTCTACAGAATGCAGTATCAAAACTACCCCGAGGCCCTCACATGAGGTTAGGTTGGAGTCTTTTTTCAGACCTATTCTACCTTCCATCTCGGCTTTCAAAAGGGCCGGAGTATGCATGCTATTCTAACTAATTCCTACACCCAACTAGGAGGTGATGAACGTAAAATTTACCGCTGAATCAACATGTAACGTTGCGAAAGGAATTGTAGATCATGAAAAATACCTAAACGTCGTCCAATTTCCATATAGTGGGATTTGAACGGCACTATTATGATTATGAATGGCACCTCAAAAGAGGACGACCTGAACTGAACTGAACTGGGATTTGAACCATCGAACACATTATAACATATTTATCAAAGTTCACAAAATATTTGAAACAGGCATAAGAATGGGTTCGTTGAAAAAATATCACCCATGACTTTAAACCGATGTAACCGGAGGTAACTGAGGTAAGAGTTTAGATAACCTTTACCTTCGGCGTTGAACCAGGAAAAAAATATTCATTTACCTCAGATAAAGCCGAATAATGTTGTAGTTACACTGCGTTGTCCTATTTACTTCACCACTGTATGAAGTCAAGTCTATTTTGTTGTCTGAAATATGTGAAATGTTCCGAACCTGCCTTTTCTACACAGCTTAATGGCAGTAGAATGGCGCACAGGTACACCACAAAAACCTGTCTGCCTATTGCCATACATAATTTATAACCTTGGCTTAAGTAACATTATGCCTGACTATATTGTTTTCGTGCATCTAGTGGCCAGAAACTATAACTGTCACAATTTCTGTAAACCATTAGTCTAATAATAGGGCGTTCCCATCAGACAAATAACTGCTATTATTTTTGGCGAAGCCTCAGAGGCAAGCCTAATGGTATAGTACTGTGTGTCGTCTGCAAGGATCCTAGGAATTCGACAGGAATTTTGTCCACAGAAATGCAATGTTGTTGTTTTTTTAACTCAAGAAGGAAACTTGGTAGGTTAGTGGGTCTTCATGAGACCTTAAAATAAGTAGATTTTAGGCCCCCTAGCAGCTTGTTATGGTACTGCAGCGGGGCTTCCGGTTTCGATATCTCGTGATCTGGGCATGCTTAGATCAACATTTGGATAATTGATAGCTTTTGAGCTCGGGAAGAAGTGACATAAAGTTTGGGCAGCTTGTTCTGAAACTACAGGGCGTTTGGTGGAAAAT